GCCAGGTGGGAGAACTGGCAACCCCTCGCTTAGGTTCTTACCAACTCCAGGTTAGGTGCTCTGGGAGGTGGTGAACTCCAGAAGGTGTGTATGTTGGGTATCTGGGGGATTTATACTTTATGGCATCAAACCTCTGACATGCAGTCCCTTCCCCAGGCTTCACAAGCTCCGTATTTGGGCAGAACAGCTATTGGGCCTGCACTTTTCCTCAGGGACCTAGGGTGGGGGATACCTAGTGTTTCTCTAACCCGTGTATGGCCAGTGGGGTCAGGGGGCAGCTTTGAGTTGGGGCAGCTGGTATCTTAGCAGCCCATATATGACCATCAGGCCTTGGGGGCCTGGATTGTGAAGCTGGTCTCAGGAGTAGGGACCAGTTCCCCTATCCATCCCCAAGGCTTGGGATCTATTCCTGCAGCCCCATTCAGGGGAACAGTCTGAGGCCCTGGGATCAGGACCCAGGCTGGGACCTCTAGGCCTCACCCCCATAGAGAGACTTCCAACAACTTGACTGTGTGTATGTGTGTGTGTGAATGTGTGTGTGTGTGTCCTTCCAGGCTTTTATCTATGTCTACTTCTCTCTCTCTCTCTCTTTTTTTTAAGATTTTATTTATTCATGAGAGACACAGAGAGAGAAAGGCAGAGACAAGTGCAGGGAGCCCGATGAGGAACTCGATCTCAGGACTCCAGGATCATGCACTGGGCTGAAGGCGACGCTAAACCGCTGAGCCACCCAGGCTGCCCCCTATCTACTTCTCTAGATATTTCTTCTTCTTTTTTAAGATTTTATTCATTTATTCATGAGACACACACACACACAGAGGCAGAGACACAGGCAGAGGGAGAAGCAGGCTCCAAGTAGGGACCCTGACGTGGGACTCCATCCTAGGTCTCTAGGATCACGTCCTGGGCTGAAGGAGGTGCTAAACCGGCTGCCTTCTTCTTTGTTTTCTAAAAACAAGATCATATCACACATGTTTTTCTTGCTTTTTTCTTACTGTTTTGAAGTTTTTAAACTGAAGTGTAGGAGACATACAAAAATGTGCATAAGTCGTGAATGAACAGTCACCTGTGATGGCATCATCTGGGAGTCAACACATGTTTGTCACCAACACCCAGAAGCCCCAGCCTCACTGGATCCCGTGCCCTCCCACTTCCCCTCCATGATTCCCACTACCTGACACCTACTCCTCTCATTGGTGGCTTTTGTCCTGCCTGCTGTTGCCCTTTGTTTTAACAAGACCACACAGCCTCTGTGCCTCTAGGTCTGGTCTCTTCTACTCCACATTACGTTTACTGGAGCCATCCATGCTATGGCAGTCGTTTGTTACGTGTTTTGGTGTAAAGATGCACCACTCGGGGTTGCTGCTCTCTTGGTGAAGGACTGTCCCTGGCTTGAGGGAGGGGCCTCTGGAGGGTGGGCAGAAGCAGAGCTGCTGGTATTAATCCCAAAGGCAGCCCTGGGTGCAAACCCTGCCCGGAGATTTGTAGACTCAGTTGCAGTATTTAAGCCCCACCGTGGAACAGGGCACAGATGGACCTGCTCCACAAACCTCCGCTCCTTTCCTTCTGGCCGATGGTGAAGAAGATGAATGTGTGCTTCCCCAGGGAGTAACCTACGGAACCACAGAAAGGCCCATTCTAAAGTATCTCTGGACCTCCTGCCTGGCTGTGCTCTAACCTGGGCATTATCTCTTTGTTCATAAGACAAAGGCAAGACAAAGCCAGTAGGGCAGCAGGGAGGTCCCTGCCCCTTCTTTCAGGGGCAGGCCACTACTAGTGTCTAATGCCCCTAGGCTGTGCTTTTTGGGATGGAGGTGGTAGGGGGAAGTTTAGAAGCATCTGTCCTGGGCTGTTTGTCAAGGCCCTAGGCAGAGTGAGGGAAAGGGGCCTGGTAGCTGGGGGGTGGGGCTGGGCTGAGACTCCTGGACATTAACAATTGTCATCTAACAGGGGAGGAGGTGGGGAGGAGTGGGGAAGAGTCTGGGTAGCTAAGGGACTGGGAGCCCATCCCTCCAGAAATTCAGGCACAGTCTGCCCTTTGGAGCACTCTGGGTGCCTTGCTACCTTTCTATGACCCCCACCCCCACCCCCTGCCACCATGGAGCTGAGGTTTCTCTTTTACAGCCCCTGTTCTCTCAGTCTCTTTGATGCCAGCAGGCTGGGTCCGAGGACCCAGGGCGGGGGTTCCACATAACCAGCCAAGAGTGTCCTTGGCTTCACACAGGACAGAAATAAAAAATGAGCCAGAGGAATTGGAAACAGTTTATTGAATAGTGTAAGTGACAGGTAGAGACTAGCAGATGGGGTGTCTGGGAGACTCGGAAAGGAAAGGAGAGTAAGTCTCAGCATTGCTGGGGTGAGAGATTTATGTTGGAAAGGGGTCTAGGGTATGTATGCCTTTAGGAATCCAAGGTAGAGTCAGATCAAAGGCTAGTGTCAGGCGAACAATAGGTGCTATTCCATAAATTACTGAAGATAGGGGTGGCAATTGCCAGTGTCAGCTGGGGTTTGTTTGAAGCTAATGTCCTGGAACATTTTTGGGATCTGGCTCTTAGGTGTTACCGGGTGTTGGGACCTAGGACACAACTCAGGATGATTAACTTTCTTGTTTCCATCTTGAATGGGTACGTAGCTTCTTTGGCTTATTCAGAAATGGGGCCTAGCACAAAAAGAAAAAGCACAGACAGAGCCATTCTTTTTTTTTTTTTTTAAGATTTATTTGACAAAGAGTGAGAGAAAGCAAGAGAGAGCACAAGCAGGGAAAATGGGAGAGGGAGAAGCAGGCTCACCACGGAGCAGGAATCCCAGTGTGGGACTCGATCCCAGGACGCTGGGATCATGACCTGAGATGCTTAACTGACTGAGCCACCCAGGCACCCTTGTTTTTTAATATATATGTAATATGTATTTTTATTTATTTTTTAAAAAGATCTATTTATTCATGAGAGAGACACAGAGAGAGAGAGAGAGAGAGAGAGAGAGAGGCAGAGACATAGGCAGAGGGAGAAGCAGGCTCTTCGCAGGAGTCCGATGCAGGACTTGATCCAGAATCCTGGGATCTCAACCTGAGCTGAAGTCAGTTACCCAACCGCTGAACCACCCAGGTGTCCCTGTAATATGTATTAGATTAATATTAAATAAATAAATATTTTAATATTTATATTATGATATAAAATATATATATATTAAGTAAATTCTACACCCAATGTGGGGCTTAAACTCAAAACCCTGAAATCAAGAGTTGCATGCTCTGCTGACTGAGCCAACCAGACACCCAAGATGGAGCTGTTCTAAAATGAAATCCCTTGCATTAATTAATTAATTAATTAAGTTTTAAAAAGGAGTCCCTTCAGTTTCCCTACCTCATCTTGCCATCTCACCCTAACCCACCCCTACCCTCTGCTACAGTCTATGATGCTATTGACCACAATGTCCAAACTGGAACTTCTGGAAATTCTCTCTGCAGTAGCTTGTATGACATTTAAAAGCATGGGTTTGAGAGCAGATAGACCTGCCCTGGAATCCTGGCTAGGCAGCCTTTTTTAAAATTTTTTTTTATTTATGATAGTCACACGCAGAGAGAAAGGCGGAGACACAGGCAGAGGGAAAAGCAGGCTCCATGCACCGGGAGCCCGACACGTGGGATTCAATCCCAGGTCTCCAGGATCGCTCCCTGGGCCAAAGGCAGGCGCTAAACCGCTGCGCCACCCAGGGATCCCCTGGCTAGGCAGTCTTTCTTGTAGCTGTGTTACCTTGAGCAGATCATCCAAATTTCTAGGTTGATTTCCTTGTTTGTAAAAAAAATTTGAAATAATAGCAATCCCCTTGTGACATTGTTGTGAAGATGGAATGAGATTGTTGCAGGTAAGGCCTGGCTCACTGGCTGGCCCCTCACCCCCTTTCTGTTTGAATACTGTTCAGTGTCCTGCAATGACTAAACATTTTCAGAGCGATATGTGGCAGGCTCTTTGAGGACAGTGGTGAAGCAGACACATGCTCTGCCCTCCACTGGCCCCCAGTCTAGGGATGGAGACCGACCTTGTGGGTAGTGCTAGACAGGGGCTGCTGGACACAAAGGTGGCACAAGCTTCCTGATGCAGTGCTCCCCTGTCACTTCCTATTATAGCACTGGATAGCTTCTTGTTAAATGCTTGTTTATTGTGGAGGCTCCCTCGCAGAATGTCAGTTCTGTGATAAAGGAGTCCTTGTCCACCTTGTCTGGAACAGTCCCTGGCATACAGTAGGGCTAGTAAATATTTGTGGAATGAAGTAAACTACCAGTAAGCGGAGGCCTGGAAGTTGGAGTTGATGTGGTTGAAAGAGGAAGGCGAGGTAAGAGTTGAAAAGTGTTCAAGGTAGAAGGTAAGATGCAAAGAAGCAAAAGGCTTGGGGGTTGGGGAGGCTCAGAGGACAGGAAGGAAGGCGTGGAGTAAGCAGAGATGAGGCTGGAGATGGCTATCCAGGAATTGGGATTTTGTCTAGTAAGCAGTGAGGAGCCACTGACGAGTTTTTCAGTAGGTGTACGACTTGATTAGATTTAAAGAGGAAGGGAGCCAGGAAGGAAGGATGAGAGGCCGGCGGCCACTGTATGGTGACTGGAATTGGAGACGGTAATAGTAATGAGAGTTCAATGACGAGGTTACTGTCTGGTGTTCCGGCCAGAAATAACGGAGAGACGTCTAGTGGAGAAGGATTCTGGAGAGATTCAAGACAATGAATGGAGGGAGGAGCCAAGAATGCCTCCTTGTTTCTGGCTTATGTGATTGGTTGGCTCTAGATGTCACTCAAGAAGATAGGCGGTACGGAAGGTGGGGCTTGACCGTAAGAAACGTCCCCTCCGTGCCCCCGCCCATCGGTGGTGGGATGGCGTCGATTGGCTCTTTCGAGGAACGCGCCAAAAACGGACAGGGGCGGGAGGGAGGTGTGTCCTTGCGTCATTTCCGGGAGACTTCCGGGTCGCCCTTTCCCGGCCTCCCCCGGCACCGGAACTTCCGGCAGGAGCCGCCATTTTGACTTCCCGACCTTGGGCTATTGCTGGCCGCTGTCTGCAGTCATTCCGTGCGGTCATGTCTGTGCTGGTGCCGCAGCTGCTGAGGGGCCTAACAGGCCTCACCCGGCGGCTCCCGGTGCATCGTGCCCAGATCCATTCCAAGCCGCCGCGGGAGCAGCTCGGGACTATGGTGAGGAGTGGGGCGGGAAGGGCATGGGAGGTGCAGCACACAGGGGAGGGATCCTGCGGCGAGTTTGGGGCTGCCTAATCTGGCTTGCTGGACCTTGGCGGCCCCGAGAGTGCCCTGTATCTCGCGGTCCGCAGCCTGGCGGGCAGCGGTAGTGCTGGTTTGGGCATGTCTGGAGGGCGCGAACGAGAGGGACAGTGCCCGGGTGACAGTCGGGGCTCAGTTCCAGGATCTCGGGTCAGATCCTGCCAGTCACATTCCTGTCGCTTATCTGCTGTGCAGTCTCGGGCCCGTAGCCCCCTCTCTAAGCCTGTTTACTTATCGGTTCACTGGGGGTGCCTAACGCGAATGGTTGTTGCCGCTATGTTGTTGCCGCTGTTCGTTATTAGGGAAGGTGGGTCTCGGTAATTTCCAGAAATGTGAGAGAGTTAACCCTTAATGACTTGCACCTATTTGGCGCTTTTATGCATTTGCCTCAGCGACAGAATTTCGCCTTGAATGAAAGTCTTCAGAATCCAGGTTAGCGGGTCGCATCTAGGAGAAGAGCCTGAAGAGCGCTGAGATTGAGGAAATGGTAGTGATCCTAATTGCATCTGGCATCTGCTGAGTGCCCGCTCTGTGCAGGTCACTGCCAAGACTGCTGTGCTGATCCCTGTGACCCCGAGAACAAATAGCCATCAGCTCTAGTTTGTGGCTGAGGGAACCGAAATTTAGGAGCACTGTATTTACTTGTCAAAAGTCAAACCTTTGGTGGCAAAGAAGGGGAGGTGCATTTTAGCCTTAACCAGCTTATGCAAGATTCATGGGTCTCAAAAGACGGAACAAGTTTAAATCCTTGTTCTTGTCCCTTTACTTTATCATATCATCTTGTGGTGGATTTATCTGTGAATCCTAACCCAGGCTGGTCCCAACCCCCATACCTGACCCTTTACCTCAAGGCCTAAAGTGGGCCTTGGATCTGCTGTGTCCCTTCTCTGGAGCCTGAATCCTGACTTCCTGAAAGGGGCTCTCTGCTGCCTGGGAAAACTACTCAGACTATGGGAAGCCTGGGGGAATCCTTATTCTGCGGGTTCCTTCTTTCTTGTGCTCTGTAGGATGTTGCCGTTGGGCTCACCTCCTGCTTCCTGTGTTTCCTCCTGCCATCGGGCTGGGTCCTGTCACATCTGGAGAGCTACAAGAAGCGGGAGTGAAGGGGGCTGTCCTGTCCCTCACCCTGTGACCTGACCACCCCTGGCCTGTCCTGATCATGTCTGCTGCATTCCTGGCCGGCCTTCCATGGATCATGTCCTTCAATTACAGTGACCTCTTCTACAATCATGACCTCTTGATTTCTCCATGGTGACATCCTGGGACCAAACATATTGGTTTATAAGGCCCCATTCAGTAGGGCCCTCCTTGTCACAATAAAGTCTATTTAAACCTTGCTTCAGAAATTCATCGTGTCTTCGACTTGGGCTCCTGCCTCCATACCTGAGCTGAGGATAGTGTTGGGTGGGGGTGTGGAGAAGAGGGCCTGGCCAGCTGCATGTCACTGCTGGATGACTGTCCTGTGGTAGGTCATGCATGCTCAGCTGTTCTTGCTGCCTGAGAATGGTGCTTCCTTTGCATGCTTTCCTGTGTTTAAATGTTTTCTGGCTTCTTGGGAGAAGAAATCTTGTTGTCATAGGGCAGCCTTTCTTTCTCATCCCATCTGGCTTCCTTGGTTGTGCCAAGTTCAGGGTAGTGCTGTGTCTGTGTGTCTGACTTTCTCACTGGGGCCAGCTCTGCAGGTGGAAGCCCTCTCTGGGGCCAGCCTCCCTTTTTTGCTCCTTGGCTGTGGACTCCAGCCATTTCTCAGGAGCTTCTTGTCCTTCCTAGTTGGAGGGTAGGATACTTTATAATATCTTGCCAACCCTGTCAGCCCCAGGGCCCCCTTTTAGTACTATATGCACAAATGCCTATGGACTGACTAGCTTCCTCATTTCCCCTGTCTGCTTCCCTGGCACCTCTGTTCCTTGGCTTGGGGAATTTGCTGCTCTTCCATTCCCAGGGCCCTTCCTCAGTGATTCTTCCTGGGGTGGCTGTGGGTATCCATGGCTGGGATGGTGCATGGAAGTGCTCCACACCGAGCTGGAATTTTTATTCTGTATGTCTGGAAAGAATGCTCAGACCTGTGGCCCCACCTTTGCAGGAGGAGGCAGCTTCGCTGGGGTGATATGAGAGATTTCTGAGTAGATGCAGGTTCAGTCACCCCTGTGGAGCTGAAGTGCATGGGTGTGGCTGGCTATTAGGCCCAGGGTGTTAACCCACATCCCCCAACCCCTCTTTGACAGGGCTTTGATTTCCTGGCTTTTGGTGACAGAAGCTGAAGGTGGATTCTGCCCTCCCTCCCTCTGTCTGGTCTTTCCTGGCCTTTTTGTGTTGTCTAGTGATCGCTGTGAACCCAAGTATCGCCCGTGGGACATGCCCAACTCATGCCCATGGCTGCTTCCCTGAGTGGTAGGGACTTGGTGACCTGCCTCCTAAAAAGCTTTCCTTCCACACAAAGGAGCCTTTGTGTCTGGGCCGAAAGGGACAGGGCCTAGACTGCTGGGAGATTGTGCAGGTTGGACTCTTGGCCAGAGGAGGGGGAGAGCCCATGCATGATCTGAAGGGCCAGACTGGGTTGGCTGAGCAAGGGGCATCCACTGGTCACCTGCAGGCACCTCAAGAGCCCTTGTCCTGGGTGTGTGTGTAGGGGAACTCTTGGCTGTATCCTCCCAAACAACAGGGTGGCTTCTGTCTTATGCCTCAGTCTAGGAGGCATTCCTAGTCACACCTCCTGAGCAGAGGGCTCCCATCTACTTGGCTCTGGGTTGGCTCAGGTTTGCTATGGGTAAGATTAGGTCATGGAACTGCCATGAAATAAGAATGTGGCTCCAGAAGTGAGTTTCTATGGTAACTACGCTGGCCCGCCAACGTTTCTTATTGGGTATATCCATTTTTGTGCTCCTGGAACCCAGAGGGACAACTCCAGCCCAAAGCTGTGCATCTCGAGCCACTGCTCGGGTTGGTTGGAAGCCAATGGTTATGGGCAAGTCCTTCAGGGTCCTGGGCTGAGAAAGCCCTTAGCAAGCCCATCAGCAACTCTGCTTCTAGCTCTCCCACAACTTGCTAGGTCCTGCAGCGTAGGCAGGGGTGAATGAGAAAGTATAGGGTGCAAATCACCTGTCATTCTTTTTTTTTCAAAGATTTATTTATTCATGAGACACACACACACAGAGACAGAGGCAAAGACACAGGCAGAGGAAGAAGCAGGCTCCATGCAAGGAACCTAACGTGGGACTCGATCCCGGATTCCGGGATCATGCCCTGAGCTTAAGGCAGACACTCAACCGCTGAGCCACCCAGGCGTCCCTCACCTGTCATTCTTGAACCCTCTCCTCCCCTTGGTCCCAAATGTGGCCACTAGGTCTGAAATCTGGCCACTTTTCAGTGTCCTCTCATTCGTAACCAACTGGGACCCTGGGTCCATTCCCTACAGAGAAAACAAGGCTCCTTATATCCCAAGTAGTATTTTATCAGTCCTTTAAAAAAGTTTTTTTTTTGTTTGTTTAAAGATTTTATTTATTTATTCATGAAAGAGAGAGAGATTGAGAGGCAGACACACAGGCAGAGGGAGAAGCAGACTCCAGGCAGGGAGCCCATTCCCAGGACCCAGGGATCACGCCCTGAGCCAAAGGGAGACACTCAACCACTGAGCCACTCAGGCATCCCATTTTATCAGTCCTTGCTGTGGGTGTCTGTTAGGTCGTGAGTCTGGAGGCGTAGGTGTCTTTGCCCAGGAGTGCACATGGGGCCAAGAGAGGCTGCAGTCATAGTAGATGCTAGAATGTCAAAAGTGTACTGAGAGTCAGGAGGCCTGGCTTGGCCATTTCTTGTATGAACTTGAGCAAGTCATTTAGCCTCTCTGAGCCTGTTTTTATGATTGTAAAGTGACAGTGATGTGGCAGGCAGAAGAGCATCCCCTCAGAGAGATCCATGCTCTCATCCCTGGACTTTGTAGATGTGATTCAAGTTAAGCATGTTGACATGTGGGAGATTATCCGGTAGGCCCAGTGGATTCATGGGAGTCCTTAAGGTGGACAAGGAAAGCAGATGATGTGTATCTCAGATGCCACCTGAGAAGGACTCTGCCCACTATTGTTGGCTTTGAAGATAGTGAAAGTGGGTCATGAGTTAAGAGATGCAGTGGCCCCTGGAAGCTGGGGACCGCCCTCAGTCTATAGCCAGCAAGAATATGGACTCTAATCCCACAGCTGCAAGGAACTGAATCTACCAACAACGTGCATAAGTAGAAGCAGGTTCTCAGAGCTTCCACAAAGGAACACAGCCTGCAGATGGCTTGATTTTAGCCTGGTACAACCCACACCAGAACTCTGACCTCAAGAACCATAAAACCATACATTTGTGTGGTTTTAAGCTACTAGATTGGTGGTGATTTGTTATGGCAGCAACAAAGAAACTAATGCATCATTTTCCTTGTGAGGTTCTCAGAGGAGGGGCTGGCCCCAGTGGGTTGGATCCTTAGCAGACAGGTAAACTGGAATGTGAGGCATTTACAGAAGTACAGTGCCCCAATGAGGAGTGAGGGTACTCTGGGTCTGGGTGGAGGGCAGCGGGGAGAGGGGCTTTCCCTTTGTCCTTTCTACCCCTCCTCTGCTTGCTTTCTGCCTTAGGTGGTCTGGACCCTGCAGACGACTATCGACCCAGCCATCAGCTTCAAAGTACAGGCCCTGCTCAGCTTCACCTGCCTGGCCTCTGCACCAACAAAGCCTCTTTAGACACAATTTTGTAGCTGGCTGCCTGTGGACCATCACAGGTTTCTGTGGCAGTAGCTTCAGAGGTTCACTTGGGGGTGGCATGCCCCAACTCTTCCCATCTGGGCAGATGCCTGACCACCAAGCCTGCCTTGGGAAGGACTGCCAAGCCCTCATTTTTGGCCCACCTTGAAGGCTTGGAAAGCTATGGCCATGGCCTCCAGGAGGAGGGGTGGGGGGTAGGAGGAGTGAGGACTGTGACTGTCCCAGGGCCCATGCTGTGTCCTTGTTGCCTGGCCTCCTCCCCTGAGAGGTGGGAGAGGTTTGATGGGCCTGGGGGCCATTTGACTCCCTATAGCTACTCTGTACTATTCATAAACTCTTCCTCTGGGGCTGAGCTTTTAGTCTGAGGCCTGGAATGGAGTCTCTTCTCCCTCCACATGATAGAATCCGCCAGACATGGACGTGGTGTGCCCCCAGGGCTATGAGGAGGCATCTACCCTGTCAGTACAATGGAAAATAAGGTCCTCTGCCGCTTATCACCTTTGTGACCATCCTCAACAGCAGTCTGAACACAAGTGCCAGTGCTACCTGTTTCATTGCAAGACTCAGTGCAGTCAGGGCCAAGAGCACTGGACCATTTCTGTCTTGGTACATTGGGAGACAGAGATAGACTCCTGTAGCTCTGCCAGTTGGATTTTAGATGCTTCAGGATAGAGAAGCAAAACCCTAAAATGGTAAAACTAATAGAAGAGAGAGGATGAGGGTAAGAGACAGTTAGTTATTAACTGCCAAATAAATCAGCATACAGAAGACCGGGGCAAAAATCAACCATCCTGGGCTGGATTATAAGCCAAAGCCTTGGGCCACCTGGGTGGCTCAGTGGTTGAGTGTCTGCCTTTGGGTTAGGTCATGATCTTGGGGTCCTGGGATAAAGTTCTGCATTGGGCTCCCCACGGGGAACCTGCTTCTCCCTCTACCTGTGTCTGTGTATTTCTCACGAATAAATGAATAAAATCTTAAAAAAAAAAAAAAAAAGAGCCAAAGCCTTCCTCTGGCCATCTCCTTCCCATTTTTAAAAAAGATTTTGTATTTATTTTAATTTTTAAGCTTTTATTTATTCATAAGAGACAGGGAGAGAGGGAGGCAGAAGAAGCAGGCTCCTTGCAGAGAAGGGAGCCCAATGCAACACTTGATTCCAGGACTCTGGGATCACAACCTGAGTCAAAGACAGATGCTTAACTGATGAAGCCATCCAGGCATCCTGAAGATTTTGTTTTTTAAACAATCTCTACACCCAAGGTGGGGCACAAATGACCCCAAGATCAAGAGTTGCATGCACCCTCCACCAACTGAACCAGCCAGGTGCCTCTTCTTCCCATTCTGCCTAAGAGGGGGAAGGGCCGGGGAGCAGGGAGGAGAAAGGACCTTTGTTTACAGATCCTTTTACATGTTGAAGGGACAGGTCTGTTTTTAAAGCTCAAGACCCCTGGGAGGGAGGTATTTACTTGGTGTGGACAGCCTGGCTGTGGTCCAGCCCTGGGTCACACCTGGGATTCCTTCTCACTCGTCAGAGCACCTGTGTTTCCTGTCCTGACCTTTAGTCCCAACCCCAGATTTCTGTGTCCCTGTATGCCCTATGGACTCCCTATTTGAAATATGGGGGAGTAGAGGCAGAGTGGTCTTATAGCAGTTTTCAAGATTTTGGAAACCCAAATAGAAATCCTGTTGCTGTCATCAAATATCTTAGCTTTTCTTTTGGGAGTAGCTGTTCTTCTGAAGATCTCATTGGCAGTTACAGATTTTGATGTTAAAATTGGGAAAAGGAATGAACAATTTATTGGTAAGCCCAGGTCCAAACAAGGTAGATGCTTTGCATTCTTGAGCTTAGAAGCAACCCCAAAGCTCAATGATCCAATAAACAGTAATTTTGCAGTGTTGCTGGGATACAGATTTGGCATTTGTAGTGTTGCTGTGAGAAGGCCATTGTGGGCTGTGTGGTGAGCCCAGACACCAACTGTGCCCTACTCCAGGACTGGATGTAGCTCATGACTCAGGAACATATTTAGTCATATTGCATTCTTTTTTTTTTTAAGATTTACTTATTTTTATTTATTTATTGATAGAGAGAGAGAGAGGCAGAGACACAGGAGGAGGGAGAAGCAGGCTTCATGCCGGGAGCCCGAAGCGGAACTCGATCCCAGGACTCCAGAATCGAGCCCTGGGCCAAAGGCAGGTGCTAAACCGCTGAACCACCCACGGATCCCGTCATATTGCATTCCTATACTGTCGCAAACTGAGGTGTCTCATTGGGACTGTACTACTGTCCTACTGGTGCTAAAACACTGCTGTCTTGTCATGAAGAAGTTGGGAAACCGAGCTGCAAATCTTAACTTCTCTAAACAGCAGCATCTTTAGCATCTAAGGCTTGTTCCCCCCCCCCTTTTTTTTTTAAATAAACTCCCCAATGTAGGGATCGAACCCATGACTCCAACATCAAGAGTCCCATTATTCTATGGACTGAGCCAGTCAGGCACCCTGGCCTTGCTGCTTTTTAAACTTTTTGTTTTTTGATATTTTAGAGGCAATTTTAATAAATCCTGTGTACCCTTTATCCAGTTTTCCCCATTGGCAAATCCTGCAAAACTACAATACAGCACCTACCGGAGTATTCATACACAGTCCAGATGTAGAATATTTTGAGCAGCCCTAGTAGCTCAGCGGTTTAGCGCCGCCTTCAGCCTAGGGCGGGATCCTGGAGACCCGGGATTGAGTCCCGAGTTGAGCTCCCTATGGGGAGCCTGCTTCTCCCTCTACCTGTGTCTCTGCCTCTCATGAATAAATAATAAAATCTAAAAAAAAAAGATATAGAACATTTAAGGGGCGCTCAACTGGCTCAGTCGGTGGATCGTGCAACTCTTGATCTTCATTCAGGTCTGTCTGAATGAAGCTCCATCCCCACCTTGGGGGTAGAGTTTAGTTTACTTGAAAAAAAAAAAAAAAGTGCGATGGGCAGCCAGCGGGTGGAGCGAGTGACTCTGGGTCTCCAGGTTGTGAGTTGGAGTCCCATATTGAATGTAATTACTTGAAAATAAAAATCTTAAAAATAAAATCTAGAACATCTCCATCTGCACGAGGATCCCTCCCTCAGCCTTTTTACAATCCCATCCACTTCCTCCAGCCACCTCCCCTCACCTAACCTCTGGTAACCCTAGAGTCAACTCCTTTAAAAAAGAGGGAAAGACTGCTTTCCTCATAACCAGAACGGCACGGAGTCCAAAGTTAGGTCCCAAGACTTTGGTCTTGACCCCCAGGGGCATGTTCTCCCCGCCGAAACGGGACCCCAAAGTCCGCTCAGAAGCGCGGCCCACGGTCCCAGGCCGTGACGTCCCGGGGCTCTGAGGTCAGCACGATTCCGCCTCCACCGCCAGGTTCTCCTCCCTGCAGTCGCTGCCAGATTTCTGGGGTCCGCAACCGCGACGCTGCCTCCCGAGATTCAGCCTCACTCTCCCAGTCACGTCAGCCACACCAACCGCGCTTCAAACCCCAGGGGCAAAAAATCTGAATTGGCTCCGGGAGCTCTTCTCACCAGGGATTTGGGCATAGGGAAGGTGGGGCCCAGCAGGAGCTAGAGGGGGAGTGGCCGGGCGGCAGCCGCACCTGACTGCGAGCCCCGCAGGTGACGACGCCCTCTACGTCGCCCGAGGGGGGCTCGTCGCTAGGGCGTTGCCAAGGAGGGGCCACGGGGAGGGGCCCCCTTCCGGGAGGAGGGCAGCTGCTAACCCGGAAGCGGTCGGCAGTGCGGTGCTGTTTAAAGATGGCGGCGGAGGAACCTCAGCAGCAGAAGCAGGAGCCGCTCGGCAGCGACTCCGAAGGTACTGACCGGGGGAGGGCCGTCCGGCCCGGGCTAGCGGGGGCGATGCGGGGCCGCCGGTTCCCGAGGAGGCTGGGGGCGGGGCCGCGGGCGGCCAGGGGCGAAAGGCACGGACGGCCCCTTCTTCCGCCGCCGCCTCCCCTCCCCCTCACAATGGACGGAGCTGCCGCTGCCGCCGCGACCCCCGGCCCCTAGGGCCGACGGGCGAGCGAGCGGGGCGGGCCCGGGCCGGTGGCTCTTTCCTTTCGCGCGCGCCCGGGGCGGGGCCTGGGCCGCCCCGCCCCCCGCCCAGCCCCTCCGCGCCGGCCGCGGGGCTCCCGGGTCCCCAGCCCTCCCAACCCCAATCCTTGCAGTCAGGCCGGGCCTAAGCCGGGGCCTGGCCGCCCGCCCTCTCCAGAGCAGCCCGCGCCCGAGAGGGCGTCGAGTTACGCCGAGCCGCGGAGCACAAAGGACTGGGCGGGCCGCTCGGGATGCTGAGGGCGGCCGGGGGTTGTGAGCGGCTGTGGTGTGTGCCCCTGAGGACTGCAGCCCTCGTTTCCGGCAGAGCCCCCTCTTCTGGCTTTGCAGCCCCTTTCCGCCTTCCTGGGCATTGTTTTGTTAGACCTCTGGAGGTGGACCTTTCAAAACGTTGCTGCCTTCTCCCTTTTCACCCGCGTTTAGGCGGTTAGGCCGCAGGGACCGAGTAGGTCATTCGGGTGGGAGGGACAGCCCCATTGCAGGGGAGTGTAAGGGATGGGTCAGGGCCCAGATGAGGATCCGGGATGCTGAGACTGAAGAGGATTGACCTTAAAAGTCATTCAGCGCACACACACCCCTTTTAACTGCACACTTGAGACTGAACGCTAGGAGTCGGAGGCCCCCAGAAGAGGCTTCCTAAGTTCACGTAAGAAAGAGCGAGGACCATAATTCAGTTTGGGCCCAAACAGTGGCTGCTGAGGGTGGGGCCCACAGGTGGACCTGCCAAGTCACTGATGAACACTTAATCCAATGCCTCGTAGGTACCACCTCTTCCTCTTGACATTTCAATGAGGGGAGGAAGGTGGTCCTCCTTTACAGCTGGGGAAAGTTCTCTGCCACACAGGAGCAGAGGAGAGGTATTGTGGTAAAAACCTCAGACTTTAGAATTAGGCACACCTGGATTTGAGCACAGGTCTTTGTTAGTTATGACCTTGGGCAGGTTACTTCACCTGTTTGCATTTGTTTTGTTATCTGTAAAATGGGTATTAAGAGTACCCAGCACAGCAGAAGGAGGAAGGGTGTGATCAAATAAAGTGCAGGCTACGGGAAGCTCTCCTCCGGCCCAGAACTCTACCTCGTCCTCTTACTTTCACCAAGAGACCCTGCCTGGCCCCAGAGCATTCTCAGGCTGCAGGGAATTGATATTAGAAAGCGGGGGTGGGGGTGGTGTTAGAGCTGAATGAGTACATGTTGGGGCAGGACATACTTTTACCCCCTCATTTTAAAGATGGGAAAACTAAGGCCTGGAAGGGAAAGGACTTTGTCAAGATCGCACCGTTGGGGTAAAGCAGGGTGTTAAGATACATACTTCAGATTCCATACCTGGCCTCGGCTGCTCTTGTCATCGGCCTAGCTGCCTGGCATGGAGACAGCTAGGGCTCACTGTAATCTTTGGCTTGCTTCCTTCTTCCAGGTGTTAACTGTCTTGCTTATGATGAAGCCATCATGGCTCAGCAGGACCGAATTCAGCAAGAGGTGAGGGGCTGTTTCCCTTGGCCCTATTATGGGGAACCTATATAGCCTGGGCCTGGGGCCTATTTATCTCTCGTTTGAAAGGTTCATCCTGGGCAGCCCCGGTGACTCGGCAGTTTAGCGCCACCTTCAGCTAGGGGTGTGATCCTGGAGACCAAGGATCGAGTCCCACATCGGACTCCCTGCATGGAGCCTGCTTCTCCCTCTGCCTGTGTCTCTGCCTCTCTCTCTGTGTCTTTCATGAATAAATAAATAAAATCTTAAAAAAAAAAAAAAAAGAAAGAAAGAAATGAAAGGCTCATCCTCTCCAAGCTATGCTAGGTATTGGGTGTCTTGGGATAGGCGGGGGATCACTGTGCCACTGGGTGATTGCTGCAGCTCCCCTCCTTTAGGTGTTCTGGCTGTTAGGTGTGAGTACTCCACCAGCATGCCAGACCGTGATGGGTTTCCTCCCCTCTGCAGATTGCTGTGCAGAACCCTCTGGTCTCAGAGCGGCTGGAGCTTTCGGTCCTGTACAAGGAGTATGCTGAGGATGACAACATCTATCAACAGAAGATCAAGGTGGGAGCCTGGCTGAGGGGGCAGGAAAAGCCCTGGGGGTAGGGGCAGGAGTGTGCCTGCTTAAGACCTGCTCCTTGCTGGCCTGACCTCAGAGAGGGTAGCATGTTGGGGTAGCCCTCTGGTTGCTGCTTCAAATGTGCACACTCAGGAATCAAAAAGACCTTGATTCATATCCTGACTGTGCCATACAGAGCTGTATCCTTGACAGGTCCTTCCACGTCTCTGAGCTGTGGGGTTCTCTGCTGTGAAATCAGAATAAAGAAAGTAGCTGTACGCAGGGCTGTTGTTGATGGAGATGGTGCCTGTGGGGTCTGGTGCAGGCTGAGTAGTAGCTGAGGTCTCACCTCAGCTGAGTAGTAGCTGCTCACCATGGTGCTGGGTGGCTGGGAGAGGCTGGTTCTGGCAGGGGCACATCCTGCTGTCTGCCTCTGGGATGTTTGTAGAGGGGTAAGCAGCAGTGGGGCAAAGGGACCTGTGGACCTGTGCAAGGCCCAGCAGTATCACTTATAACTTGAGGTGAGATCCCTAACCACTCCCTGTCCGTGGGGGCTGGGACAGTGGGTGCGTGTAAATAGTATCCAGTAGGCACAGCCTGAGAGCTTAGTAAATGTTACCCTGCACCCCAAGATGAGAGATGCTTAGAGTCTTCCACCAGAAAGGAAGGGCTTTTGGGGTTATTCATATCCTCCCTCGGGCCAGGGAGGTAGGCAGTGGAAGGTGGCCAGATTAGATGGTAAACCGGAGGGGGGAGTAGGAGGTGGGGGGGTGGGCACCACGCTTCCACATCAGCCAACTGCAGGGAGTGGAAGCCTGCAGGGCAAATAGTGGTTGTCCATGCCTCTCACTCCATTGTTTCCCTGACCTGTTTTTCCAAAACAAGCCAGAAATGATTTTGATATGAATCTCCAGACTTCTAACAGGCAGCGAATTCAGATTTAAAATGTGTGGTTCAAACAGCACACCTACAGGCCAGATCCAGCTGTGTGTGGCCTGTGGTCTACTTGGACCCCTTGCTCAGTGTTTGCAATTTACCCAAGAGGACTGTGGAGAGATAGATGAAGGCACTGGCTTTAGGGCCTGACAGACCTGGATTCCAGTTCTGGCTGCACTGAATTAGGCAACGCACTGAATTTCTTGGAGCTTCTGTTCTTCGTGTTGAGTCCTCCAGCACACATTCGAGTGCCTGCTGTGTGCACAGGTCTACTTACTGCCCTCTGCCACCCCTGCAGTGTGCGGTGCCTTAGCACACCTCCGCCCTTGGAGTGTCCTGCCTAGACAGCAGAGCCCACTCAGACTTGGGTGACTTTTCTCCTCTGTGCATTGGGCCCCGGTGAGGTTTAGGATAGTGGGCACCAGCCCTCAGCAAAGGGCCTGGCACGGGATAAGTGCTCAGAATGATTCTAGTAGCTTTTCCAATAGCTGCAGTGATTTGGGCTCTTTGTATGCATTGTGTGCTGTGATTGACCATCTGTGAGCACTCGCGGTGGGCCAGGTACTGTTTGTGGTCCCAGAGGCAGAGTGAGGAGTGCAGCCGAGGAGCTCCTGCCCTCATGAAGCTTATGTGTCACAGTGTGAAGACAGTAAGGCAGGTATCTCAGGCGTCTGTGTCAGAAGGCATCTGGAGAAGTGTCAAGCAGGGAAGGGGGAGAGGGAGGGCAGGTGGAAGGCCTTGCCAAAAGGGTGGTGTTGGAGTGACAGACTGAAGGTAGCAGGAGAGCAGGTTGTAGGCATGGGGCAGAGAGGGGCAGGTTGGGACCACTGTGAGGTGTGGTGGGGTTTGAGGAGGCCAGTGTGGCTGGAGTGGCACGGAGAGGAGCAGGGGAGGGCCAGGAGGCCGCCTGAACGTAGCCTGGGAGAGGAGGTGAATTAGCAGGTTTCTCTGGTTCTTCTGGCTGCTGGAGCCGGGAGGCCTGGGAGGAGGTCTGGAGGAGGGAGTGACTGGGACCAGAGTGCCCTAGGGTAGTGAGCAGCCGCAGAGAGGGAACTTGGGGGATAGATTGGCTGGGGCCAAGGGGTGACAGAGGCTTTTTGGCTTGAATGGCTGAGGGGCCGTGGGGTCAGGACATGCTCAGAATGGACAAGTACTTGGATATACGGGTCAGATGGAGTGGAGGGCGGAGATTGGCAGGCAAATTGGGGCTGTTCAAATCCCAAGACCAGGGATCCCTGGGTGGCGCAGCGGTTTGGCGCCTGCCTTTGGCCCAGGGCGCGATCTTGGAGACCCGGGATCGAATCCCACGTTGGGCTCCTGGTGCATGGAGCCTGTTTCTCCCTCTGCCTGTGTCTCTGCCTCTCTCTCTCTAGCTCTCTCTCTGTGTGACTATCATAAATAAATAAAAATTAAAAAAAAAAATCCCAAGACCAGCGGCGATAAGGGAGTGAGTATAGTTGACCAGCAGAAGCTGTCCTGGGCCTGAGCCGGGTGGTGCCCTTCACACAGCAGGTACCATGGGTGGGTACGTGGTGTGTGAACAGCACGTGGTGTCTTGAGAAAGGGCGCTCTGTGGTTCCAGGGTGGCCCTGATCTTCACAGGTTGAGAGGAGGAGGAGGGTGCCGTAAGGCTGGGGCCTGCAGTCTCCATGAAGGACAGGACGGACTAGGAGGGTGTGGAGGGGGTGGTACGAATTGGCTGGGTTCACCAGGTTGCGGGGTGCCCCCCTTCATGGTGAATGCTGCTCTCGGAGCCTATCCAGAGAGGTGTGGCCTTGGCTCAGGTGGAGGTAGTAGAAGAGAGGTGGAGCTGGGAGTGCAGACAAGTTCCCAGAGCAGTTACTCCACAAAAGAGACCAGAGAACTTGGGCGGTGGCTGGAAAGGGATTCATGGGAAGCAGAGGAGTTGTTTCTCTTTAAGCAAGAACTAGCGTTGAGTTTGTGTGCTGATGAGTCTAAACCTGTAGGGAGAAAAACACTGATGATGCTGGAGGGAGGGGGAGGCTTCCTGGAACAATGTCCTTGAGCCTAAGGGAGGGGATAGGCTCCGGGGCTCTGATGGGGACCAGAGGGGTGGCCCTGGGAGCAGCCTCAGACCCTCCGGGGGTCAGGAGAAGAGGGCTGTGCACTGCTATGCTGGCTGGGGCTAAGGGGTGCTGGGTGACAGTCCTCAGAAAGGCAGTGAGAGGGCAGCCCCGGTGGCACAGCAGTTTAGTGCCGCCTGTGGCCCAGGGTGTGATCCTGGAGACCCAGGATCGAGTTCCGCATCCGGCTCCTTGCATGGAGCCTGCTTCTCCCTCTGCCTGTGTCTGTCTCTGTGTCTCTCATGAATAAATAAATAAAATCTTAAAAAAAAAAAGAAAGGCAGTGAGATCATTGGGAAGGTGGGCAGGGGGTTAGAGAGAATGGAGATGGTGCAAGATAGTCCAGGGGAGGGAGGCCCCGCTGTGAGCAGTGGCCCCACATGTGTGGGGAGGTTCGACAGAAGAAATACCCTTGCATTTAGGGAGGAAAGCAGCTGGAGCAGAGAAAAGACCCGTGAGAGTGAGTGGGCAGGGTGGGGTGTGGAAGGCGAGTGCGGATGCTGTTTCCTGAGCCCTGCACTGGACGCCCATCCTCATTTGTCTGCCCTGGACTCAAGTGGTTTGAAAGGCTGCTCTCTGGAGAAGCTATGTAGAACCAGGACTGATTCATTTGTCCGTTTTGTTTTGAAGAAATGGCCCCCACGCTCTGCAGCATGGTAGGCCTGTGGGCTGGTGATGACTCTGATGCCCCAAGCAGCCAGTGTGTACCGAAGAAGTTCTAGTTTCCTGAGGCTGTTGAGGCTCTGGCCAGTGGGTCACTGAGTCACTGGAGTCAGCAGCCAAGGAGGGCAGTGACTTCTTTCGGGATGGGGGAAAGGTTTCCTTGGCCCATCCTGGTTCCGGCCTGATGTTGGCCTGATGTTGACCGGCATGGGGGTGGGCGGGTGGGGCTGCCTCTCTGCAGGACCTCCACAAAAAGTACTCCTACATCCGCAAGACCAGGCCTGATGGAAACTGTTTCTACCGAGCTTTCGGATTCTCCCACTTGGAGGCGCTGCTGGATGACAGCAAGGAATTGCAGCGGTGAGGCTGGTGGGCACTTGGGAACTGCCAGGAGGTTCCCTCCCCATCTCTCTGGGGGACTAGGAGATGCATTTCCACCTAAGGCCTGACAATGGCGGGGCTCCTGCTTTGGGGTTCCGTTCTGAGTGGGGGTAGGGGCCCCCAGTCCTGGGCCGGCCTCTTTGCTGGCTGAGGAGCCCATGCTGGCACCCCTTGCCCTCCCACCTGCAGGTTTAAGGCTGTGTCTGCCAAGAGCAAAGAGGACCTGGTGTCCCAGGGCTTCACTGAATTCACAATCGAGGATTTCCACAACACGGTGAGCCCAGCTGCCCCTGGTGCCCCCACAGCCAGGGTGGAGGTTGGGTCGCCTGGCCATGGCAGGGTTGACCCATCTCCTTCTCCATTGTGCCCTCTGTCCCCTGTGGGTGGCAGTTCATGGACCTGATCGAGCAGGTGGAGAAGCAGACCTCTGTAGCTGACCTGCTGGCCTCCTTCAACGACCAGAGTACCTCGGACTACCTGGTGGTGTACCTGCGGCTGCTCACCTCGGGCTACCTGCAGCGCGAGAGCAAGTTCTTCGAGCACTTCATCGAGGGCGGGCGGACAGTCAAGGAGTTCTGCCAGCAGGTGCCGCCTCTTTCTCTCTCACCTCGGGGTGGGGAGCACAGTGGTGGAGGGGGGGCTGGGGGAGGGGCGCTGACCCCCACCTGTGCTGCAGGAGGTGGAGCCCATGTGCAAGGAGAGCGACCACATTCACATCATCGCACTGGCCCAGGCTCTGAGCGTCTCCATCCAGGTGGAGTACATGGACCGCGGCGAGGGCGGCACCACCAACCCGCACATCTTCCCCGAGGGCTCTGAGCCCAAGGTGTACCTTCTCTACCGGCCTGGACACTACGATATCCTCTACAAATAGGGCTGGCCCTGGCCTCCTGCTGCCCTGTCTGCCCTCCCCTCTGCCGGGCGCTAGACATGTACAGAAGTTTTTTGTGGTTGTAAATGGTCATATTTCACTCCCTCCTCCACTTTCCCTGTCACGCAACCTTCCACATTTTATTAAAGGGGATGCTGGTGGTGAGCCGCGTTGTGTGCGTGTCCCTGCTCTGCTGCTGCCTGGCTGCTATGTGTCTGGCTGTCCCTCTACTCCCTCCCATGGGTTCTTCTCTGCCTTCTGCCTGTCCACACCCAAGCTTTCCCACCAGGAGCGGTTTTGAGGGGGCCTCTTGGGGACCCCTCCTGGGTACCAGGGTTCTGCTTCCTTCCCCTCAGGCACCTATCCCTTCCCTCCCTAGCTGGTCCAGGGGCTTCCATGAAAACCTTGGAAGTTCCTTGGGGGCCTTGCCCAGGGACATAGGACTGCCCAGGCTTCAAGCTGTTCCCTTACAGGCCTAGACTCCACCTTGCTGTCTTGGTCAGGGCCCCCAAACCTGAGCTGCCTGCCCTTTTCCTGTCAGGGGTCAGCATGGTCCAGTCCTGGGTGGAGAAGGCTGACGCTGTGGGGGCCTGGCTCAGGGCAGGCGTAGGAGCCAGAGCACCCCAGTGCCACCCCCACCCAAGTGGTACCAACTCCACCCAGGTGGTACCAACCTGGTTGGGGAGGGGCAGCCTTGAGTCCTGTGCTTGGTCCGTGATCCTGAGGTCTAGGCAGGACTTGCAGGGCCGCCATTCCCCCCTGCTCCTCACCCTCCACCCCCCGCCTGTGCCTGCTTTGCAACCCCTTTGCTTGGGCCACGGTGTCTCTGCATTGCTTGCCTCTTTGCCTTTACCTCTTTTTTTCCTCCACCCCAGCACATGTGGGGTCTTGGCCCCCAGGCTGTGAGCTCCGTGGGGGCAGGCCCTCAATAAATGTGAAGTACTGCTGCCCACCTCTGCCGTCTGGCCCATGCCTCCACCTGCCCAGCTCTCCAAGTGCTCTCTCGCCAGTCCCTTTAAGCCAAAGGCACTTGTCCACACCCCTGGGCTGCCACGTCCTTCCCCAGCCAGCACTTAGACGGTAGTCGCTGCAACAAGGGTGGTCTTTATTAGGAGGCTCCTGAGGGCAGGGAGCTGAGGGAAGGAACAGGGTGCCCAGGCCCAGATGCAGGCTTCGGGGACCTCTTAGAGCTGAGAGCGAGGTCCTGTAGGCCCAGGGGAGTCTGTGGGCAGAGGGGAAGAGTCAGGGAGTGTGGCTGGTGGGTTTCCCCCAGCCTCCCCTCTTGGCTTTCCTGCGTGGGGGTGAGCCGGTGTGTTAGTGGGCAGGTTAGTGGGCAGCCATGTGGCAGGTCAGGCCCTGCTTACCAGTCCTGGGCAGGGTGGGCAGCGATGCCGTCAGGCTGGAAGGCAGAGGACAGTGAGAGCCTGCCCTTGGGTGGGTGGGGGAGGGGCAGGGCTGACCCAGCGCAGGCACCGCGGGGTGCTTACCCACTGGGAAGTAGTGGGGGAGCCGCTGCAGGTAGATGCTTTCGTCCTTCTCCAGGAACACGCAGATGATGAGCCGGTCCACCTGCGCAGGGGCCTGCTTAGCCTGGGCAGGGCTCACCCACAACCTGGCTGCCTCATCTTACCGCTACCCCCACCTGGGCAGGTTTTCACCTGTCTGACTGGGGAGAGGGGACGGAGGGGCCATAGACCCTTCACAGAAGGGGTTCATGGTGTGCACTCCACCGCCCTGGCTGGACACGCTGGGCTCAGACGAGTAAACAGGTCCCAAGGGAAGGAAAGGACGCACCGAGGGCTGGTGCGGCCAGAGACCGGGCTGGTCAGCGGAACCTGGATGCGCCCTACCCCCCCACCCCTGTCTGATCTCCTTGACGGCCCAGGACTCACCTTGTCCTTGTGTTGCTCCAGCCACTCGCGCAGCGCGGCCAACACTACCTCCGCCGCCGCCTCACTGGGGTAGCCTGGGGACCCAGCGGAGCGGGACTGAGCCCCCTGAGCCCGGCCTCTGGCCCCCCAACCTCGCCGCCCGGGGACCCGCCCAACTCCACCTGCCCGGTTCAGCCCCACCTCTTGCCCCACCCGCCCGGGCCCCTCCCCGCATCTGGGCTCACCCACTTCCTAGTCCGGTCCCGCCCCCTTCTAGACTCCACCCCTCACCCCACCCGCAACTCACCGAACACGCCGGTGGAGATGCAGGGGAAAGCCTGGGGCGGGGGCGGAAGGTGGGAGGGAATTGAGGGCCGAGTCGCTCCTTGCCCACCGCCCTCCCGGAGAGCCTTCCTCCCCCGGCTCCCGGCCGCCCCACCCCCGCCGCATGGCGCCCGCCCCCCCTCACCGCGGAGCGGAGCCGGTGCTCCAGCAGCAGGTCGAGGCTGCTCAGGTAGCAGCTGCGGAGCTCGGTAGCCTGGCTGGCGCTGGGCTCTCCGTGGGCGATGGGTCCCACCGTGTGGATGACATCTGCGGAGGCGACGGGGTCAGGCCGGCCGGGAGCTCCAGGGGCTCAGAGGTTTCCTCCCCTTGCCGGCCTGGGCCCTCCCCAAGTTGAGAGTCCCCGGGGAGGACCCCCATCCATGTGGGACACAGGTGTGCCCTCGAGCTCCAATGAGGTCCTCCACAGAGACAGGCAGGTCCGCGGGGCCCCGCTCCCCACATCCGAACGGACCGCGCTGAGAGCGGGGCGGAGCGGGTGAGCCAGGGCACTGCCCCCTCAGCTCTGGCCCTTCCGCCGCCTGCTTCGGGGCATGCGTGGAGCGGCCGGCTCCCAGCACTAAGGTTAAGAGGTGCCCCTGACGAGGGCTCCAGCAGTTCAGTGGGGGCTGCTCCCCTCTCCCCGCAATTGCACAAGGTGCCCCGTCTGCGCCCCACCGGGAGGGCGGGGCGGGACTCACACTTGGCCGGCAGCCGGTAGCCGCCGGTGATCTTGGCCTTGCCGGTCTCGCAGCTCTGCAGGGTCCGGCACTCGTCGGTGAGCAGGGGTCCGGCGGCCCGGTGGATGCAGCCGTCCACTGCAGGGCAGGGGGCAGTGAGCTGGGGGCGCCCCACGTCTCGCCTGAGCCCATTTTACGGAAGGGAAGGCGGAGGCCCAGGCACAGAATACTCCCAAGCCCCTCGGCCGTGCCACGACTCGCGGGGTACCGCGCCTCCTCCCGCGGCCTCCAGCCTCTCGCAGCGCCCGCCGGCCCTACTGGTTCCGCGGCTGCAGAAGCCCAGGCGCGGGGGCGGCCGCAGCGGCCGGGAGGGAGGCGGCGCGGGGCAGCCGGCAGGGGGCGCCCCGGGCCCGCCCTGCTCGTTCCCCTCCGCGCTGCAGGGGCGCGCGCGGGGTGCGGGCCCGGGTGGCTCCGCCAGGCGGAGTCCGCCACCCCAGCCCGGCCCGGGGGAGGGTCTCCCTCCCGCGACCGGTGGGCGCCCGCACCCGAGAGGCCTGGGGGCGCCGACTGGCACCGCGCACCCAGCCCAAGGCAAGGCCGCAAACTCTAGGACCCACTTTACAGATGAAGAAACTGGGGTCACCCAATTACAAGTGGCAGACGCGGTCCGGGCCCGGCGCCCGGGTCTTCCAGCCGCTTCCGCGCTCCCCGCGGACAGGTAGATCCGGGCCACGCAGGTGGATCAGGGCGCGCCCCCTGCTCGTTAGCTGCCTAGTTAGCGCCTTCGGCTTAATTGCGGCGGCCCCGGGCTTGTTTACCTGAGAGCGGCTCCGGGGCCTCGGCGGCAGCCCTGGGGACGCGGGCCCCATAAACACCTCGGGCGCGGCGGGAGCGCGGAGGAGATGCGCCTCCGGCCCCAGCTCACCCAGGCGCAGCAGCCCGAGAGGCCCTCGCGGGAAAGGCGGGGCTCGGCTCTGGTCCTTCTCCCTTCTCCCTCCCCCCCCCCCCCCCACCCAGTGGCTACGGCCTCATCTGGAAATAGCGACAGGGACCCCTCCTCAGGGGAGTACACCCTGGCGGGGAGAAAGTGACCGCCTCTGGCAGCTCCGTAGCCCCGATGGCACCGCAGCCTGCGCCCTGAGCTCCTGGGGCACCAGCAACCCACCGGTGTTCCCAATGCCCAGCGGCACGAAAAAAAACCCATTTCTCCATTTTGCAGATGCGCAAACCAAGGCCCTTCCTCTTCAATCACAGCCCCAGCCCCAATGTCTTGGCACAAGTCCAGGGACACTAGCTGGACCACCCCCTCTTCTCTTTTGTGCCCCGTGGGGCCCAATTAAACCTAATTTTGTGACTTCACTTGGAGCTGGCACCACGCGATTTCCTAGAGCATCCCAGGGGTGGGATGGATGGGGAGGAGGAACTAGGGGAGCCCTGGGAGGACTCTGGGGCTGGGTCCTACCCTCCTCTCCTATGCAGGGAAGGGTAAGGGCAGCTGTGGCCGATGGGGAGGGGGCAAGACTGGTACCCAAGGCAGGGCCACTGAGCTACCTGTCCAGGTGCCACTCATGGGTGTGCAGCCTGGAGCAAGCGTGCAGTGTCCATGTGCAGCGAGCATGTCTATTCCAGGCACCACCGGTGTGTGACAGCTGGGGCTGGGGAGCTGGGCAGCCTGGACCCAAGTCCCAGCTGTGCCAGTCACAGATGTGTGACCTAGAGCATATCACTTAACCTCTCTGGGTCTCAACTGCCCCATCTATAAAATGGGCTAATAGTAGACATTCATCTCATAGGGCTTTTGGAAGGATTGAGTTAATTTCTGTAAGGTGCTTAAGCCAGTGCCTGGTGTGGGTGAAAGCGATGTGCGTATAGGCTGTTAGGACAGCGTGAGAGTGGGAGGATGTGCTCCACGTGTATACCTGGGACTGTGAGGGGAGGCGGGTATCCAGGCATTTGCGGGAATGGGTGTGAGCTGGCTCTCCCGGGGTCTCTGGGCCCTGCCCCAGTGCTGTCAGCCACTTGGACCCAGCTGCCTGCCATCCGGGTGCCGTCCACCCTGCAGACAAGCTTGGCCTGCCGTGGATGCTGTGCGGAAGTGGAGCTCAGCAAGATCTGTGTTTCCGGGACTTAATGTTTCCTGCAGAGGTGGACAGGCCTGTGGCCAGGCCTTTGGGGCTGACCCAGGGGCATGAGGGGGAGGAGGGGATCCAAGCCAGCAGAAGCCGGAGCACCCCCGCCAGCATCCAGGCCAGGGCCAGGGCTCGGGACTGCCATGCAAGTGCCTGGGGGACCTGGGGGATCTGTTCCGCGGAGGCAGAGATGAGGGGCAGGCCCTGGGCCCCACCCCTGCCTCACCCCTCTCCCCATCAAGACCAAGTACGGCCTGGCCCCCTCCCTCTCCACACACCGGCCTTGTCGCTCTAACATCTCAGTGCCAGAAGGGACCCTCAGCCTGCTGTCCTTAGCCACAGGTCAAAGGGCTACCACAGGTCAAAGGGCTACCTGTCTGCCCGGTGGAACGGCAGCTCTCCTGGCTCAGCTCCCTTGGCTATGTCCTGGCTCTAAGGTGGGGGTAAGCTGAACCCTGGAACCCACAGGAGGAGGCTGCCTGGGGTCTCATCCACATGACCCTGGGGCTGCCTGGTGGGATGGTGGTGACCTCAGTTCATACCAGTTTACCCTCGATTCCCTCCCTGGGACCTTTAGCCATATCCAAACAAACCTCAAGCCTCCAACTCAACCCCTGCCCCCTGGAGTCCCTCCCGGGGAGGCTGATCCCCGTTGGTGGGGTGGTGGCACCTTCTTCAGATGTCTCTCTGATGGGGCCGAAGGAACCCTTGCCTGGAAGACTGCCCTAAGGGCCGCTCTGCGTCCTTCCTCAGCCCCTGCCCGGTCCCCTTCAGGCTCCCAGCTGGGCTGGGGCTCAGGAGTTCCAGCCTGTGCAGCCTCTTGTGGGGCCCTGCTGGGCGCTAAGCGGGTCACACTCTCCCTTGTGGGTCCTCCCAGCCACCCTGGGGGGTGCTACAAATTTCCCTGCTTTATAGAAAAAGACATCGAGCCACAGAGAAGATGAAAGACTT